TTCGAGAATCGCTGTCCGAGTATTTGGTACTCCTGTTGGTTGAAATTTATAAAATCTTTCTCTGAAAATATTTTTTTTCGTGAAAATATGTGCTATTATGTCCCGTTCCAGTACTGATAGATTTTTGTTTTCTTAACTTATTTAAAGTAGTGTAGAATATTAAAATCTTCGAGTTACATGTGTTATCCATTTTAGTTGCTGCTTGTGAAGTTCCTCAATTGATGAGGTTTCTTTTATTTGGTACAGTTCTTTGTGATTCGGAAGCACTAGTCCACAAGGTCCGAAGAAGGGTTTTCTTCACACGCACGAAGTCATTTTAACCATTGACCTGAGGAAATTCTTGTATACAGCTAACAGATTAAATATTCATCAACCGGTTTTTCCTCCATGCTTGACAACTATATACTTCTATTTTTCGAAACTAAGTTTAGATGTTGAACAAGTACGAACGTTTGAGAGATGGCTATGAGGAAAGAAACCGCTATTCAGTCGACATTGATTTAGCCAGAGAAACTTGCTAACCATTGAACTAAGTGCTCCATGACATCCATATGAAAGTCTCGATTTGACGAGGCTATTTACGAACAAGACGCCTGTTTTCGTGCTAATTTTGTTTCTTAGCAAATTGCGGTGTTGAGCGAAATCGCCTTAAGCGCAGCCTATTCTGTGTTCATTTTCATTATCTCCTACACGACATTTTTTATGTCATACATCGAGGTATTAGTGTTCAGGATTTACATTGTAATTTTTTTATGGTCGATTCAATGTATTTCTAATAGTAGCCATAATTATATAATACAATTAGAATAAACATTATAATAAAGAAATTAATATTATAATATGCTGCTATGTAATTAATAATATATTTATATGATAATGTAACATTGTAATATAACGCTGTATAATACTAATCCTGGGTTAGACGATAAACTACATCCAGCAGCAAGGATTCTGATCGGGAGATTGGGGGTTTTGAGGATCATGGAGTCAACACTTAATAGCTGTTGTTCCAAAGGACCACCCTGAACCGGGGTGGTAGCACTTATTATGGTCCTATCTATGGGCAAATAGTGGCCACCACACAAAAATAAAACACTATAAATGTTTAAAAAATATATATATTTTATTATAAGAATACCAGCAATACATTTTTATATTAAACATTACCAACCATAAATAATTGTAGTAAAATTACTAACAATACATATTAGAGCAAAATTACCAGCAAAATATTTAATAACAAAGTAACTGTTTTAGATAATTAAATTTCAACATCAAATAACCCATAGATGTTGATATGCCGCTAATCAAAATGAACCAACCCAACAACTAATATGAAAAAAAATTTATGACATTAATCCATGTAATATCCTACTATTTCTTAAAGAATTCAAAACATAACCTCCACAAAACTACAATATAAAATAGTCATATCACTGCCTCTAGAAATTATATCTGCACAAATCTGTATATGCACAAAAGCATAATATTATCTACCATGTATTCAGTTGTGAAAGCAGAACAACATATCTCTTTTCTTCGACCTTAAATGACACATAAAGGAGTCGATATGTCATTAAGCACACAAATCAATCACAGCATAATGCAGCATCCTAAAATAATGAATAACTAATAAACAGAACGGATTTTATTTTCTTTCTGAAGAAATCTAGACGCAACTTTATCTAAATTTGGAATAAAACATCCAACAATGTAGATGCTCTTTTCTTGGGTTTCAGGCAGTCTTTGAGGAGGCTAAACAAGAAAAACCTCTCTGGAAGTAATTTCAGAAAGAAAATTTAAAACGATGCCCTGAAGGCGCGTGGTTGTCAACAGTGATTTCCTTCTGGCAACACCAAGCTGTCTCCAAGAATATAATTCGTTTGGATGTCGTCGATGTAGCACGGAGCGGCGGTTTTTTGTCTGGCTAACGCTTGGTCTCCTCTTGCAAGTAACCAAGCTTTCAATTTGGAGAGGTCAGTCGATTCTGACCACCTAGCGATTTTGACCAACTATGGCGCTTCTATTATGTCACTTAAGAGACAGACGTCGGTAATGGTGCTTAAGTCAAGCAATTATTGCCAAATTTCCGAGGGATTATATATCTATCAAAAGCTGTATAATGGATGGTATATCATTATCATCAATCTCATGACCGGGCGTGGTTGTGGAGTCGCTGCGGAGCTGAACAGGTAACCTGTTCTCTCCACACACATGGAGTTGAAAGTCGGAGAGTATTATTTCATGCGTAAGCGGGTCTAGGGCAAGAAGATCTGGCGGACCCCATCCCTTTGGTTACATATATATTTGTGACGCTTAGCATTGTGCTACAAGAAGATTAATCTGGCCACTTAATTGAAATTTTGAAATACTTCTGCTTGTCTAGCCGTTTTCCTCAGCAGAAATTCCTGCTAGTAACTCAGGCAGTACTGATTTTTATGGTACTAATAACTTTCGAAATAAGCTGATCTAATCTAATATAGAATATACTCGAACGTTGTGTGAGCTTTTATGGTCAGTTCTTTCGGCAAAATATAGCGTGGGGATTCATACGACACAGGGTTTTTTTTTTTTTTTTTTTTTTTTTTTTTTTTTTTTTTTTTTTTTTGTTTTTTTTTTGTTTTTTTTTTTTTTTTTTTTTTTTTTTTTTGTTTTTTTTTTTTTTTTTTGGTTTTTTTGTTTTGGTTGTTTTTTTTTTGGTTTGTTTTTTTTTTGGTTTGTTTTTGTTTTGTTTTGTTTTTTTTTTTTGAAGAGACAGGTTGCGCTATACACAGGAACTTCTTTCTAGAGGGGAAAAATTCAGGGGTTACATTAGACATGAAGTCACCTTATACATAAATATATACGGTACACATTTGTAGTAACGTTTCAGTTTATCTAAAGATTATTTAAAATGGTAATGTCTCCTGTCTGTTATCGATACGTTTTACTGATTGCCAATTTTGAACATTCACGCACCATTATAGCCACCTAAAGAAATATTTTATTTAAGCATATTCACTTCAGTATCTTTCAGTCTCTTAACGGTTATCAGGGCTAAAACCTTAAATTTTAATTTACTTGTCAAGTTTGTCGGTTTCAGTGTTCTAATACCTGCATGAATCACGCTCTTTAGCCTTCTCCAGCTATAGGTTAAATAGCAGACTAGCCTGCTCTGTCTAGCTTTGAAAGAAGACGATATTATTGGAGAATCCTTAATTCAAAATCGTGAAAATGTAAAAATAGACACCATTCTAATAGTTTTTTTTCAAGAAATTATTCCTATTTACAGGAATCTGTAAGCAACTATGATATTTTTTATTGTTTAGTGCCGTATCAATTACTTATGGGTAATTTAATGTCGAAATTAAATGTTCTTGGGAGCATTTGTAATTTTGTACAAAAATGTATTGTGAGTTATATTTTTTTACTATGAAAATATATTGCTGTATTTTTTCTATAAAAAAGTGTATTTTGACTCTTGCTTCGTGGTTAACTATTTGCCCATATCTAGGACCATAACAAGTGCTACAACGCCCGGGTCAACGGGGATCTGAAAGCAATAGCAATTTAGAGGTAGTTCCATGCTTGTCAAAAGCACCGGATCAGAGTCTTTGCTGGTGGATATAATTTATCGTCATACCCAGGACGATAGCTATGATAGACTTCGTCGGGAAACGAGACGGCATTTCAGATTATCATTGTTTTTAATCACATACTAATTGATAAGATATTTGAAAACTTATAGTGTTTGCTGTATTGAAGATTAAAGTACAAAAACATGATTTTTTTTTCATGGAGAGCACGTCATAATTTCCATTACCATTAACAAGAATCCAAATGCTTTTAGCGTGTTCGTATTTCACTTAAAGCATGGTTGAATTAACTGTTTCTATACGTAGTGCCACTTTCTTCATAAAGGTATATTAGATTCGAATACAATGGAAATACAAGTATGCACTAAGTGAAATGAAAAAAAATATTCAGCTAAATATACACTAAACGATTTAACCCTACAAGTACTTGTAGAATCCTTATGTGGAGAAATGCAATTATCGGGCATTTGAGTATGTTCTTACATCCAGGCTATATACTTCCTGTATTGATCTGCCAGCGGAGACGATATAAATAAATGTGAATGTCAGTGTGTCACATTTTTTCAGCTTTACTTCTAGAGGCCGTAACCCAACATGTAATACCATTTTGAAATCAGGCCGAGTCTGTGAGCAAATTAAAAACACTCCTGGCCAGATCCGGACCCGTAATCGTGAAATATAGGATTCCCAAATTTTCATTACTGCTATAGATTTCGGCGATTTTTTGTATGTGATTTTGGGGGACGAACATTTTTAAACGATAACATTTTTTATAAAGTGGAAATAAATTGAGAACAATCGACATTAATGCAAAATCAAGTGAAAGTCACCCATGATATAAAAATAATAGTTTTGTACGGGAAGGACCTACGTACATCAAATTGTCTTTAAATTAAATGCTAACAGAAGAGTTATCGTTGAACCTTTTAACGGTAAGCTTGTACATTAATGCAATAGTTAAATGCAGTGATCAATTTTGAGTTCCTTTGTAGTTCATGACTGCTTATCGCATTTACTCATACCTACGTATCGTGATTTAGACTCAATGTAAGAAATTCTGCAATTTAAGCACCTCTTGGCTAATTTTGTAACGACCAATCTCATTGGTCGAACTTTGACTTGTTTTTTTCGCGGGCATTTTACAACGGCCCGCGCCCTTTTGAATCAGTTGCGGATTAGCTTTGAAAGTGTCCGGATTCATTTTTTAATCTATTTGTCAGGGCTATTAGCACCCAAACCTAAATAATTAGGCATTGAATGTCCTTCAGCAACCAAAATGGTAATGCTTCAGAGACAGTTACGGAATATTATTGGAATGGTCCGGACTCAACTTTGAATTTCTTGCACAGCCTTTTAAGTCCAAGCCTAATAATTAGGCATTGGAGATTCTTTCAGCAACCAAATGGTAATGCTTCAGTCGACTTCATGTCCCAGCTTAATTCCTTCAAGGCTGTAGAAGATTCCTTTCAGCAACCAAATGGTAATGCTTCAGTCGACTTCATGTCCCAGCTTAATTCCTTCAAGGCTGTAGAAGATTCCTTTCAGCAACCAAATGGCAATGCTTCAGTCGACTTCATGTCCCAGCTTAATTCCTTCAAGGCTGTAGAAGATTCCTTTCAGCAACCAAATGGTAATGCTTCAGTCGACTTCATGTCCCAGCTTAATTCCTTCAAGGCTGTAGAAGTTTCCTTTCAGCAACCAAATGGTAATGCTTCAGTCGACTTCATGTCCCAGCTTAATTCCTTCAAGGCTGTAGAAGATTCCTTTCAGCAACCAAATGGTAATGCTTCAGTCGACTTCATGTCCCAGCTTAATTCCTTCAAGGCTGTAGAAGATTCCTTTCAGCAACCAAGTGGTAATGCTTCAGAGACGACTTCATATCCCAGCTTAATTCCTTCAAGGCTGTAGAATTCAGTCATAATGACTGTCGACAAATGTGTACGTTTACACGAAGAACTTTATGAACAAACTCGACAATAGCCGAGTTTCAACTTCAGCAACCGAAATGGTAATGCTCCAGCAACGACCAGCTAATGACAGCTTTTCTAACCTCGTAGTAACCGATTGTCTCCTACAGAAGTAAAAGACACTACCTATCCATTGAAGAACTACCCTACCCTGTTCCCGGGGTCAAAAAAGGGCAATTTTTTTTTTTGCAAGGATACAATAAAATTTGTTTTAAGTTTTAAGGTAGGCCTTGTTGAATTGTTTGTCTTTCTTGTCTCTGCCAAGGGTTAAACAGTGTGAGAAGAAATTCTCACACCAATAAAGCCCCCCCCCCGCATTGGGCGGCTCTTAAGCTAGTAATAAACATGACTACAAATCCAATTATTAAACATATGGTAGCCACATTTCTTAGGTAAGTTTGACTACGTCGTTCTATTCCAAACAATCTTCGTGTCCTATTCTTACCCTTGTTAAACTGCCGCTTTAGTGATTACGTCACGCAAAGCTTAACTGACTTTCTCCTCTCGCATTTCTCTCATTCGGCCTCTTGCTTTCCAGTCACTTTTCATTTTCAAACAACCATTCTTTTATTTTCATTCACAGTTTGTAAATTATTTTGTTGGAAAACAATCGTTGGTAATGCATTTACATTATGCATAAAATGTCGGTAATCATTCAGAAACAGTTTCCCTTTATATCTGAAGCTTTCAAATACGGTTCTCGTCATTTTCAATGTTACTGTGGTCTCAACAATGTTACATTTGTTGGTGAACAATTAAAGAGATTCGCACAGAAAACAGTGTGCGCCGTAGAACGCTCTCACTGATTGATTGATCTGCACCAACATTGAATTTGATTAAATGGTTTCTTCCTTTGCGTAGTGCTTAACAAGATTTAAGTCACTGCACTAAATTCGCAATTGCCATATTTCTGCTAATGTCGTTCGACGTCAGCATCGATCAGTGTCTAACTTCGGAAATACAGGTCAATCATTCTGTTCCAAAACACTCCTACCTCTCCGTATTCTATACTTACCCTTGCAACAGTGCCGCTTTAGCGATTACGTCAAACATAGGTTGACTTACTTTCTTCTCTCAGACTTCACGCTTGAGAAATTTTCATCCGGGCTCTTGCTTTTTAATTTTTTAAATTTTAAATGCAATGACAGTTATCTTCGACCTTCTCACTTACTGTTCTTTTATTGTTCTCTCTTAATAATTTTTTTCTCTTTTTCATTCAAATTCAGTAAACTCTTGCGCCTTAGTGCTTTTATTGCCTTGCATCGAGTGGATCCGTTTTTACGTCATCATGATCATTCTTTTTGTTATATTGAATATTAATCTCAAGCCAATTATAAATAAGTATGTTTTACGCATTGTTAGCACTGAATGAAAATTTTCTATCAATTCAGTTGCGATGTAGTACGGAATGCTTAAATAATCTCTGCCTATCACTTCACATTTGTACTTGTCTATATGCAGCGCATTGTCTAAGAAGAAAATAAATAGAGTTCTTATTTCTTTCTTGTTCCTGATGAGGTTCAAAATGAGTTCGTTTGGATCTTCATATATTCAGTCGAGTTAGTTTAAAAACGTTTTATTATGTGAGATCAACATAGCAGATAGACAGTTTTATATTTCATAGCCATAAAAATACCTGCAGTTGCTCGATGATATACATTCCATCTTTGTGTAACACTTACCAAAATAAAAAGCGTTGTTGTTCGAGTTTTTAGATGAAGTCGCCCTTCATGGTGGATGCGTTGTTCTACTGCTGATTGGATCAACACTGAAATAGTACCCTTGTCCACAATTTTCAGAACTCTTCGGCGCGTAACTTTTCGACATTCCTCTGTTTGTTGGATAATGTTTTAGTTTGAACTTCATCTACGCAAACACATCGACAACTGAAAAGATCAGCAGCCACTATGTTTTTGGTTATTAGTTCGTGAATAGTTAAATTTTCCAACATGACTGTAAAAATACAAAAACTTAAGGAATCAGCGCATATGCTAGGCTACAAAAATCTCCTAACCGGCCAAGCATAGACACAACTAATATGAGAATATAGAATGCTAGAGAAAAAAATATAATAAAAAAATTATAGTATGAGCTCTGGTAAAAATAAATACTGAGGCATAAGTTTTAAAGTCCCTAAAGTCACTCACTCACAGTGGATAAAAGCGTTGGTTGACTTAACCGAAGTAGTTATGGCATCCTGGTTATGACGTTAAACTAAATCCGGGTCTTGCGTATGAGGATAAACTACATCCGCGTCCTAGGCAAGACCATAAACTACGTCCAACAGGATGGCCTCTGATAATACGTCTTTGAAAAAAATAATATTACTAGCTATACGTTTTTGAAAAAATATTACCAGCCATACATTTTTTGAGGAAAAAATAATATTACCAGCCATACATTTTTTGAGGAAAAAATATTACCAGCTATACATTTTTTGAGGAAAAAATAATATTACCAGCTATACATTTTTTGAGGAAAAAATAATATTACTAGCTATACATTTTTGAGAAATAAAATATTACCAGGAAAAAAAAAAGTTGTCGGCATTAAATGACCCAATGAGGTTGATATGACGTAAAACAAAACAAACCAAACCAAACCAAACCAAATAGTTATGAGTTCAATACCTGGCCACATCAGAGAAAACAAAACTTGACTGGTAAGTTACAAAAGGTAATTAAGTGAAACTGATATACAAAAAAGTTCGGTTGAAAATTCAAACGTATATTACATGAAGAAGCCCGGAACGTCTTTAAACGGCAATAAAATGAGGACATCTCTCTGAACGATGTAAATAGGAAATTTTTTATTCAGTAAGACATCTCTGTTGAAAACCTGTTGTTATTACTTTAACTGTTAAGGCAAAATAAGAAAAAAAAACTTTACGAATAACAATTCAAACACGTTTATTCACTAAAAATGAAGTAATTTTGTTTCTTTGTAAGCAGCCTTTTTTTTTCTTCGTGAGATAAGCATACATTGAAAATCGATTGGTATCGAGAAACTACTTTTTAAGCTGTTATGTGACTAGTTTAAAAGAACTGATTTATCTGAAACATCGTTTCATGGCAACCAAGTAAATAGGTATTTTGGTATCGGATTTCTTGGCTCGTCGTCAAGTAGCTGGCGAAAGATAGATTGTTCTTCGTTAACATCAAGATGTATTAAGTTCAGTACGCATCTTTTAAGACGATAATAAAGACAAGACGCGACTCAATGACTACTCAGGTTGAAATCAGCCCCCTAAGGATGAAGTCGAACTAAATCACCGTAGATGTGAAAGGAATTCACCGATTGACGGCATAAAAACAGATTAAAACTTAGCTGGCTAATTTGCAACTTACATTACGTCGCCTGATATGAAAGAGATTTCACTCGGAAATATTGAAATATTTATTCAAAATAAAGATATTTCGGGATGAACATTAGATTGTCCTTAATGAATCTCTTTCACTCTTAGTAAATAGGTAATTTAAATTTCAATGTAATGTCATCATCATCATCTTGCGGTCTCAGCCGAGATTGAACTCACTACACCTTTCCAGTATTCCTTATCTGTCATAGCTAATACTTTGATTGGTGTAGTTCATAATCTTGTCAAATAGCTGAATTCTTGATGCTTCGCTAGGGCTATCAAGGGTGTTTTTTATCGTGACACCAACACTAAATGGATTGCCAACCAAGGCTCACAGAGACTCTATTCACCCTCCGCAGGTTTTGAATTCAGAGTTTCCTTCTCCTAGACCAGTTGCCATCCAAGAACCCAGTCTGTCCTGCTATTTACCCATAGCTGGAGGGAGAAGAAGAGGATCCACACCTTTCCCAAGGGTATTAGCCCGTAAGTGAAGGTAATGGATTCGAGTGGAATTCGAACTCGGCTCTCCGATTCCTCAATCCAAGCCGCTACCATCCATTACTCCACCGTGCCTAATGTCAAACGGGACCTTGCAAATCGTATTTAAAATACTAAAAATGTCATATGCATATATATTACAGAAATACGGCTCAAACGGTATGTAAAACCTCATTTAACTGAAGAGTATATTGTTCCGTGAATCCCTGCCGTTAATCAAGGGGTTCTCTAGCTCGGGCTGTTCTTATGTTTTTTACAGAAATTTTAATCGGATATTCAGTAGATGTTTCCGATAGACATTCTTATATCAATCAGCGTATATAAACAAATATTTCCGTATTTTATTCCAACTATTAAGAGTGCGAAAAAGAATAAACATTCATAATACGTTATAGCAACATTACTGTATTGTCCTATAGGTTGAAAACTACCGACACCGTGGTTCGAACGTGACACTCTGGACTTATGAATGTGTTTTTCGCCAAGTGTATAAATAGGTGTATCACGCTACTGACTGCAGTGATTATTGAAAGGAACGATCCAGTCGAATTATTGTGCGTCGATGATTTGGGTTTTGATTTAGGATTTACCGGACGTTAAGCCGAGACGCGCAACTAACTATTTATTCACTGAAATGGTTAATTATCTTGGGTTGACTTTAACTTCTTTGCTCCTGTTAAGCATTTATTTGAGGCTGTAGTTAAATACTGTTTTATCTGAACATTGACGTCTTGAGATACATTTAATTATTAACGGCCACCGTGCGTCACAAAATATATAAATTTAAATATAAATAATGTCGGAAAAAAAAAACTTTCGACACAGTAAAGTAGGGAAAACCCAGAAGAGAGCAGCGACAGCCTGGTAAGGGTTGCAAAAGGAATCCTCCTCTTGCGACCTGCTCCAACTAGGTCGAGTAACAGAGAAGAAAAATAAATAATCGTTCAGTTAACGACAAATAACCAGTCACGTGTCGGCTGATTAAAAAATAGGTCAATCAGAATACAGAGGAGGGTTTTTATAAGGAGGCTAACTGCTTCCCACAATCCTCCTCCGACCAAGACCATAAATATCAGTTGGCCAAT